CCCTCTCTTTCACCCTCCAATGCACCCACTAACCCACCCTCCACCCCTCTCCCATGTGTGACCCCATGTTGCCGTGTGCAGGTGGCACACTTGCTCTTTGGTGCCTCGAAGACCCACCCCCACACCTCTTTGCTCGAATGGTCCTCTTTGCTCCCTCTCCCATGCGCGATCTTGTCCTGTGCAGGCGACACAGCTGGGTTTGAGGCGCCTTAGAAACCCACGTCCTGCCCACCCACCTCTCCAACCCCTCTCCCATGCATGACCCCGTGTTGTCGTGTGCAGGCGGCACGGCTGCTGGCCATCTTCCGTTCCAAGGACTACTGAGTCAACGCTGAGTCACCGCTGAGTCAACGCTGAGTCAACGCTGAGTCACCGCTGAGTCAACGCTGAGTCAACGCTGAGTCAACGCTGAGTCGACGCTGAGTCAACACCAAGTCAACGCTGAGTCAACGCTGAGTCGATGCTGAGTCACTGCCGAGTCAACGCTGAGTCAACACTCGGTTAACACTCGGACAACGCATCACTGAGTCAACTCATCGCAACACTGCCCCATTTCTCCCCGGCTCAGCTCATCACTACACCTCCCCCCAGCAATTGAGTTGCCATATGCCCTGCCTGTCCTGAGGCCCACACGTTCTCGAGTGGCGCACAGAGACACCACCACCAGCTGCCTTCCATAGCAGCAAACTCTCTCTTGCAGTGCCTTGAGCTGGCGTGAGTCCTTGCTGTGGGTGGCATGGATGGCATGGCATGGACGGCATGGCATGGGGTGGCATGGCATGGCATGGCATGGCATGGGTGACATGGGGTGGTATTTGTTGCGCAGATACCACGATGTGCATGGATGGTTAGGGCAAAAATGGAACAAGCGTGCTAGGGATGGTTAGTGCACGACACGACACCGCAGCTGCCATCACATGATACTGACACGGCTTGTTGACAGCTTCTAGACCCCGATCTCTGTTTATGGATGCGTGCAATCAGCATGTGCATGCTGCAGCATGGATATCGAGCCACATGTTACGTGGATTATTTTATGGTATGTCAGCTCTCGAGCTTGGGGTTGCATGCATGCATCCATGCATAGCGTATGGGATGAACACTTAAGGCATCTAGCCAAGGATGCTGGGTTGGTTCTCTGGTACAGAGAATCTGACCATGATTTGTGTGCATGGTGGAAGTAATGTAATTGACTGCAGTAGCAAATAGCAACCTTTGTACGGTATGAGTTTATTAAATGGGCTGTAAAAGTCAATTCCGTTGACAGCTACCAGTAGTATTCTAGCGTATGCTAGCTAGTAAGGACAGTAAGACCGCTCAAGCTTTAGTCGTCCTTAAAAATTTGCTGAGCTAAGAGTTGCTGTGCAGCGCATGTCTAGCCAGGGCTGACGCTATCAGACTATTTAGTCTGATTAGTCTGACGAATCAGACCTTGCACTTGGTGGAAAATGTATTTCCAGAGTAATCCATTTTTCATCACTGAGTGTCTCAGACTTATTGTTTTGGGGCCCCTGATTCAATGTAATAGGCTTCAGACTTCACCATTTCTGGAGTATGACTCTACAGAGTATACATTCTGTGGTCCCCGGACCCCGAGGTTATCGAGACGAAGTTTCCTGGAATTTTCTTCCCGATATGCCCACCTTCGAATGGGCAGAGAGTGCTACCACGCGAGCAAAGTACTGTACACATCACCAGCTGGGGATACCAAATACACCCTATCTGCGACAAAGACACGCATTGTAGATTGTTGCGTGATTGGGGTAACCGTTGAAGTGTGAAATAGAAAAGGGCCAAAATACCTTTTCTAGCGAATCGCTCAACGAATCGGAGAACTTTACAGCCAATTGGGGGGAGGGGGGGGGGGGGGGGGGGGGATATCTCGCCACGGTTAGGATATTGCACTTTTTGGTACTGAAATCGGGTGTTCTCTGCGGCCAAACGTGTGATGTCGTCACTGTTTCGTAGGTTGAAGGTACTGTACTGCCAGGCGCGCCACCAAGTAACAGTTCGTGCCTACTGCCAGCTCATCTTTGCAGCAGCTCGGCCAGTTGGCACTTGCAAGCAAGGTAGGTCTCACTGTGCCAGGAACTGTACATACACAACAATCGCGCGCTGCCTGCTGCAACAATCTGCCGAGTCACACGCCATTCACACCAGCCAATCCAGAATGCCACCGACATGGGCCTGTCAGCGGCGGGCATGAGGACTAACCCTGATGCGGACCCACCGACACTGACTTGTCAGACAGGCTGACTTCAGAACACTGACCAATCAGAGTGCTTGATTTCTGGCCGAAGTGCCTTCAGAGTCGATTTTTTTTTGGGGGGTTGGAATCAGAGTGCCTAAATTTGAAACGTCAGCCCTGTGTCTAGCACACTTGAACATTGTGTCCACCACCTCCTCCACAACCCATCAACACTACTGCATCCTAGAATATCTCTCCCCCCATCCTGTGAACTCATCCCTTTCCCGTGAACGGCCCATTTCCCAGCAGTCTACCATCGACACAACCACTCTCCAGGTTTGGAATCTTGGAGATAATTTCATCCACATCCGTGAAGCTGGGGCACGCAATGACCATGAGGCTCCTGAGGCTGGTGAGGCTGGTAATAGCCTTGGGCAAGGAGACCAGTTTGGGCCAGAAACTTAGGCTTAGCCGCTGCAACCGTGAAAAATTTGCAATCCTGTTCGGGAGCGTATTTGAATGGGAGAAGCCAAACAGGAAGAGCGTTGATAGATTTGTGAGGCCGCAAACATTAGACACGAATTCTTCTTCATCATCGCTTCTGGCCTTGCAGTTGATAGGCCAACCAAACTCAAGAGATGTGAGGCTTTTCCATTTCCGAGGCAGATATGGATAGAATTTGGGAATGCTGTCGCAGTGATTGAAGGAGAAGTTGCCGAGATTGGAGAGCTTGGTGAAGGAATCAGGAATGTGAGTGATTGTAAGTTGGCGCAGCTCGAGGTGCTCCAGAGATGGCAGGCGACCCATGCTTTCTGGAAGGTCCTCGAGGCTTGGGCAGTTTCTGATGACCAGCACACGGAGGTTAGTAATACTGCAGAGGGAGTCAGAAAGCGAAGTGAATTCCTCGCAATTTTTTATGGTTAGCGTCGTGAGAGAAACGAGGCCTGACACGGTACTTGGAAGCATATAGAATCTGTCACATTTCACGAGCTCAAGAACTCGAAGGGAAGTCAGCTGAAAGAAGGATTCTGGGAGTTCGGAAAGATAAGTATTGATTTTCAAGTGGAACTCCTGGAGATTCAGGAGTTGGCCGATGTTGTCAGGTAGAAATTTCAACGCCTCCATGTCAAAAAGGCTGAGTCTGATTAGTGGCTTCAAGTCACACAAGGTGTCCGTCAGTCGGTCGAACGCGAAGTCTTCACTTATCTCTAAATCAGTCAGCCCGGTTAGACGACCGAATGAGTCTGGCAGGGCGTAACTAGACGAGCTAGCGAAAGTTGCTTTAGTCAGGGATATTAGCTTGTCGAACATATCAGGAAGATCTCGGAAGTCTACACGCAAATAGGCCTCCGTTAAAGATGAAAGGTTGAAGAAGGAGGGTGGCATGTCCAAAGCGTCGTAGTTGTAGGATGCCATCATGTCTAGGGAGAGGTACTGTAACGCAGTGCACGCTGTAAATAGGGAATCTAAGCCGTCATACGTCAACCAGTCTTCAAAACCGTTGCTCAGGTCAAGATGGGTTAATCTGGGACAGACCGACCCTAGGCCACGGATGAACTCGTCATCATCCGGATCGGCAACACACTTGTTAATCGTGAGAGAAATCAAGCCTTTGAACCGGGAGAGAGATTTTAAAAGGTTAGCATCCACCGTAAGACAAGGTGGATTGTTGGCAATGGACATCTGTGCAAGGTAGGCGAGACGATTCAAGCGTTTACATACCAGCGCATGATTGAAGTAGCTGGGTGACTGCTTGCTCAGACAACGGAAAATGAGGCAGATGAGCTCGTCCGGCAGCTGATTAAACGACATTCGCAACATGACTCTACCGCGAATCGAGACCAGGCGCGGCGACGATGAATTTCTATTATCTACAACCTCTATTCCACTTAAGTCGGAAAGGAAGAACAAACGCAGGATCTAGAGAGGTGGACTTGCGTGAATGGCGTCGGCTGAGAGCTTTTGTACATCTAAGAATCGTGACTGGTTTGA